AGATAATGGAGTTCCATTCTGGGATACTAGAGTTGTCTGTAGTCCCTTGCTTTTATGCAAATACTGCATTCTGATGTTGCAGTAGAAACAATGAATAATAGGTTAAAATAATGTATTGCATAGTAGAGATAAAGGGATTTAATCAGTGCAGTAGCATGAGAAAACTTTGTTCAGAATCTAACACTATCCCAGGTGTTTTCCCACTCAGAATTTTTTTTTTTTTGATTTCTGAGGCTAAAATTTCTTTTTTATAACCAAATGGGAGTGAAAATATGGATTTTATTTACTTGCTTTATTAATTGCATGATTTATTAGTCTCCACTTTGCAGCATTTTTGCATGACCTTTTATCTGTTACGTGGGGTTAGTATTCTGACTTGTCCCTTTCCCCCTTATACTCCCCTTCCCCCCCAAAAAAATTAAAAACAATGAAGTAGTTCTTGCACACAGAGATTAACAATGTAATTGAGAGCTACAGGAAATCTCTGTGTTAGATGGTGAAGTCTGGGTAATTGAAGCTAGGTAGGCAGAGTCTATCATATAAACCTAACATGGGTTTACATATAAACCCATGTTAGTGATACTCACTGGTAGCTCTCCCAGGCTTTCATGCGACTCTAGCAGCATGCATGCTCTCATTTGAGCCCTCAAGGCTCTAGGCACATTTATGATAGTTGCATAAATACTTCCCATGTAGTTGTGCTGTCCGTGGAGTATAAGATGCTTTGGAGGTATAAAAAGGAGGAGAAAGCCAAAGGCAATGTTGTCTTTGTCAGCAACACTGCAGCGGGGTAAAAAATATCCTGCATCTTAGAGCAAAATACAGCTCTGTATGTGTGTTTATTTTTTATGAAGACACAGAGAAGTTACGAATATGCCATATCCCCCAGTATTCCAGTGACTTAACAGGAAGGTGGGTCTTCTGGCTCTGGTAGAGAGCACCCTTCAATTGTGGTGGCAAAAAAAAAAAAAAAGCTGCTTCAGATGGAGTGGCTCCATTTACGAACCAATACTGCGCCCTGAGTAGTTTGTAGTTTTGGGGGGTTTTTTCTTCCACTTTATAGAATGATTTTTTTTTCTGTAACTTATAAAAGCCTTAACGTTGGCTGCTGTTCAGTATGGATTTGTGTGTGAACTCCACCCCCTCCCCCTCCCAACAAGTTGCCAGAGAACATCAGTTTCTCATAATTCACTGTCCAGATTAGTCTGAAGCCTGTCACTGGGGCTACTGTGAAACTGCAATTAGGACTAAGAAGAACTGAGCTCTTTGTGGTTTATGTGGAAAAGCACATTAGTGGCTTATAGTAAGAGGGAGATAGAGTAAAAGACAGTTGCATCAACTCACCTTGTAAGTCCCATAGTGTAGTTAAAAGGGAAGTAAGAAACATTAAGGGCTCTGCAAGGCTGTAAGGGAGATGTGCAAATTATGAAAGTAGTAGTTCTGGATTAGATTTGCTGCAGTCTGCTTAGAGGAAATCAGAAAATGACTATGGAAATCCTGGTTACAGTATCCTATTAAAAAAAAAAAAGCAATTATGAATGAAAATTCAAATTTTCTTGGGGTGTTTTTCCCCTTGAATAGCTCAGTCGCTCCTCCTCTTCCTCTAGAAGAACATTCTTTTTTGCTCCCTTTTTCTCTAACTGGATGGATTTTGTTTGTTTATTTTTGTTCCTCTACCCGATGAACATAATCCTGGGAGGCAGACCTTCCAAAGACCTTAGCTCCCCATCAGAACTTAAGGCCCTGGTTTGGAACAAGTCTGTCCAGAATGATGTTTGCCTGTGAGTAGAAACAGGGGCAGAAACAAGCTTGTGTGTAGGTACTTTTCTTCTGCCAGGAAAAAATAAGGGGGGGAAGGAAGGGATGGTGGTGGGGAGGTCAGATTGGAAGCACCGTAAGTGCACAGTGTTCTTGAGAACTTGCTTTAAATTCCTAGTACTAACTCTGCTTCTAGCCCACAGTGACAGGCAGTGGGGCACTGGCAGGATCTTTGTTTCTCTTCCTAGTGCTGGCATGTGGGCTCTTGTACGTCTTGGCTGCTGGCAGTTGCAAGTCATGTGTGTTCTTTCTTCCTTTCTTTTAATCTTTCTTTTTTCAACCCACTTTGCTTTAGCTGCCCTAAACTTTGTGTTATTTCACTAATGTATCACTAGGTGGAAAATCACAGGGTGACTGTGTTTATACCAATTGAACACTCTTTAAATTCAGGCCAAACGTTATACTGCAGAGTGCTGTGCTTCTGCTCTACCCAGGCACTTTCAACTATGTTACTGGATTCTTCCATGATGAATAATATGTTTTGTATGGCAGGCCTAAATCTGCATGGTGCTGGTGTGGCCTGTGGCTTTGTTTTCTACCTTAAAGTGCATGAGGACACCGTGGTGTATGTTGTGTGTGTTTTGTTTGTTCTGATTTTGCGTTATTTTGTTAGAGCACGTGCCTACTCAATCAATGCCAGGGCCTAGGTAACTTAAGTCTACGGGGGCGGAGGTGGGGGGGCAAGGGGGAAGAGCTGTGGCAGCTACTTGGTAGC